ATTGGCCACCGTAACGATTACAAAAGCTGACGTTTCGAGCGTTAGCCCTTCGTCGGAGCGAATAGAGGAATTGTGGGTTGTGTGTGCTTTTAAAGGCAGAAAATGGAGCTACGTTATTGGTGGGAACATGGCAACGAGAAAAACACGAATAAATTAGTGGAATGAAAAGCGTTCGTTGATACCTGTGGGATTTAGACTGCCGGTTTGAAAGATGAGCTTTTGTTCAAGAGTTTTACGGCTTTCTGTGCTACCTGAGTGTAAGGAAAGACCGCAGATTGCCATATGTTGCTTAGAATGAGTAGGTAAATTAAAATGTCTAGCGACTGGTTTCGATGTGTCCTTATGATTCCTCTCCACGTCGCGAAGGTGTTCTCGGAATCGGTCACCTAGTCTTCTGCCTGTTTCGCCGATGTAAATCTTTTGTTCTGATTCTATAGAATGGAGAGTGTATCAATTCAATTTGGTTTTGTGTCTCCAGTTCCAAATTTAGAAGAGTTGATCGGTTGTTTTCCTCACGGAATGGGTTAGACCAAATGGTTTCTTTTACAGTTACCGTTTTCAAAAGGTAATTTTTCGACTGAAACGAGTATTTTTGGCCTGCGCACGGTATTTCATGATACTAGCTTTTGTGAAAAAAGTCTGGCGAAAACCTAGCAAAACATACCCAGAGTATTACATCACTCAAAAAGAACATCTGAGAGCCCAGTGGAGTTAACTAACGCTCGATCGAAATAGGACGATCTAGGTCTTGGGAAATCGGTGGATATGCAGACCGGGTATTCTTTGTGAACTTGAATTAGAGTTTTATTAAAGTTCCAATGATATCTTCGTATGTTTTTTTCGCTCTTCTTATTTTGTCATCAGTGGATTTTGCAGTTTCTACATAGCTAATATCATTAGTTTACCCCTTAAACTCCCGAGATCCGATTGTTAATTATCCCCTCAGCTGCTACACATTTCATTGTAAATTGGTTACGAGAATTTGGTGTTAGATCAAGGTAACGTCTTTCACTTGATAGAGAAACAATAGCGAAAATATGCACGGATGTTTGTCTGCGGACATTATCTGGAGGCTTTCTGTTACCAGATGCAAACAGTTTTTTTTTTCGCCTAAAATATGGACTTTTGTGTTTATTATCCTTCAAATATTTTGTAACTCGCGTTTAAAAATGTTTACGAAGACCTTACTAATTGCTGCGTAGGATGTTTTCTTTCGATAGTGCTCCGGTACGAAATTAAATTTTAAACGAAGACTTATCGTAGCGGACGTCATGTTTAAATCGATCTCCATTTACCTTATTTAATGTGGCGAGACTCTTATCTCGAAAGAACAAATTTATATATCGCACGGAAATCCAAACCAAATACAATATCAGTTACGTAATGCCTGCTCCTCCAAACAATAATTTATTGCATCATCTTTAAGCCCTTTAATTCGCAAATTGATATAGTCCTTAAATTCCTTCACGTTTTCTTTCGTTCAGACCTCATGACCTCGATTAGACCTTTGTCGAATAATCATGCTTAAAACTCGTGCCTTTAGTTTGACAGTGAGGTGACTGGGGCAAGAATGATGATTGGCTACCTATCAAATGATGTCATAAAACATACAGTGATAAATACGTTTACATAACCTTCCAAAAGACTGCAGCTCTGTCAGTACGTGGCTGCTTGCATCACGCGAAAGTTATTAGTCATGAATTTCTTGCTCTTCATCGCTCTGTTCGGAACGTTTGCCCAAGCTTGGCGATGGCCTTGGCAGAAACCGGATAGTAAGTTGTTTGAATTTCAATACTTTGCACCGTCAGAGAATATGTTATTGATCGTTATTGCGTGTTGGTATTCATTGTCAGCGGGCGGATTAGAACGTAGGAGATTTTGGAGATCGTCATACTTCGTGCATCCAGTCAAACATAATAGCACTGATTATCAGTCTTGAGGGCAACAACTAGCTGTTTGAAAAATATTCATAGATCGAAAAAACACCATAGAACAAAATGCGCACAAACAAGTGTTGTGAGGTAAAATTGGAAATTGTTATTTTGAGACTTCTTCAGTTAAGCTTTTTGTTTTGCTGAGCCTTGCCTTTTGCGCCTACGTGTTATTTTGGTAGATCTATAGTTTGATCTTTTATTTTTAGTGTGTGCTTGAACTTGGCTCAGTTCGCGGATTTCCTTCTTACCGTGCTAGACATTTTAATCGCTTGTTAAGGTTGAGAATTCCTGTGCGCAGTTGTTAGCGTTCAATTGGTTCCTTGGCGCTCGACAAGTGCTTCGGTGAGGGCCAACCAGTTTCCCCCTTTTTGCAAAATAACGGATACACTATAGAAACTCTCACGGTCAGCTAACCCAGACATGTCTAGGATTTTCCTACTTAAAGGGTTGGTTCCTCACGCTAGAGCATGATTATAAGATGCATAGAGCGTTGCTGTAGTAGCTCTCCAGAATAAAAGAAGAAAAGTACAGAGTCGTGGCACCTCTTGTTAATTCGTCCGAGCGAGCTGTAAAACCCCCAACAAATTTGGTGGAGGACCCGTGATCCTCACCCAATCATCGAGCTAAAATTAGAAAAACCGTAAAAACTCAAGATATCGAAAAACCTGAAAAAAAAACAAAAACAAAAAAACAAAAAAACAAAAACAGATATTCCCGTCACCCTTCATAAAGTAGTTACATACCAGACAAGGCTCAACTCTTCTTCTTTGATTTTTCATTAAAAAATTTCGGTCCTGTGGATGTCGTTTGTGCAATAATACAAGAAGTATACAACACGAGTAATCAACTGTTTCTTTTTTTAAAAGTTCAAGGGTCAGTTGTAAGTGTAAATTTATTTTGGATCTTGTGCGTGCGCCGTTACAAGAGGGGGGAATACTTAAAACCGTCAATCGCCAATAAAGAAAGTAAAACATTAACCGTCAAATATCTCAGTTATTTCATAACACCAATATTATAAATTGTTACCCTGCGCAAAGGGTAATAACCGTCAACCGTCAAAGATACTTAACAATTGAAACTCTCTCACACTATACCTGGATCGCGAAGACCGTTAAGAAATATTGGATCGATCAAGATACACAACAACTTATACTGGACGTCATATCGAAGCTGTTTGAATATCACGAATTAAAATTTTATTAAAATTTTGTTCATTATACACTGAAACGTGATTTCATACTTCACTGTCGGGGACGAAACAATTCTTGAGAAGGGAGTGTCGACAAAAATGCCAATCAAGCGGAGCCGCTTTTAGATGGTACAGCTTAAATAGATCTTGATTACTTCATGTGCTTTCGCATTGTAAGATTTTGCATGGCATAATGTAAGTGATTCAAATGAAATTGCTTTACTTATAATTGTGAAAAATGTGCGTGACCTATACAGGAGTGTGTAACTTAAGGGGAGGTGGTTGCACCCTTGTTCAGCCTGCCTATAACAACCAGTATTTCCATAATTCTTTTACTTATAAGATTACTCACTTATGGAATAAGTTACCTACAAGTATTAAACAGTCACCCAATTTAAATGCATTTCAAACAATTTGGAATCTATTAATCTTTTAAATTTAAGGACTAGTTTTCTATGTAATTATTTCCAATCGTAAATTGTTTTCAATGTTTATGTGGCAATTTTAGGCTTGACGAGTATATATTTACTACTAAATCTTATTTAGCTTATTATAGTTAGATAACAAGTGTTCATTTATTTATTTTATTCTGTTTTTGTCATGCGTTTTATACATGAGCCTCTGGCTCGGATACTGAGGGCAACCTCAATCCCACGCTATGACTTTAATAAATTAATTGATTGATTGATTATATTAGGGCAGCGGTAGTTCGCAAATATCTGGGAACTTGAAGTGTGTGCGAGGGTGGAAAGTGAATAGTATTACGTGTACACTGAATAAAGCGTGTGTTTTTAACCCTTTGTGACGTGCCTTTGTGGCCTCACTACATTAAAGAGTAAACATGAGAAATACAAATCAGTTGTTGTGAAATATTTGGTCTCTCAGATACGATTTAGTGATTTAGTAGTACATAGCATTTTACGTATTTGAATTTAAAGTCAAAGATTAATGAAGGTTAAGCCGTCACAGGAAGTTTCCTAAATTTGACTACTAAGACAACTATTGGTCTTGGAAAATCGGTGGATATGCAAACCGGGTAATCTTTAATTTGTGAAGTTGAATCGGAGTTCCATAGAAGTTCCAATGATATTTTCGTATTTTTTTTCTTTTCGTTTTTGACCATGTAAGTCAACACTAAACGTCTAACCTCAGTGGTCTTTCTATTTAAAATGCATCTACATATTAACCAGGTTGCACCTCGTGAATCCACAACATTTTGACCGCTGTGATGACGAATATCGTTGTCGATAAGAGCACAGACCACGCTAAACCTCTGTTGATTTGTTAAACAGCCACTTAGTACCTTTCACTAAGCGTAGTTTTCCCGACTTTTCCACTTTAAAGTCACTACATCTTAAAGAAACATACAAGCAACAATAAAACCTCTCTTAGGAATGATTTGAAGAATTATTTTATAAATTCTTATAGAGACATTGATTCTTTTGAAGCTGTATTATAATCTAGTTTTATTGTATTTATAATCTTTGAATAGTTACATTGTTCAAATAGTTAGCTCTATTTTAATCTCTATGGCTTAGAATGTATTACTTACTAACTTTAGTTTTGAGGGCCACTGGTTT